TTGCACCTCGGCGGCATCTCGGCTGCATCTCGGCTGCATCTCGGCTGCATCTCGGCTGCATCTCGGCTGCATCTCGGCTGCATCTCGCCTGGTCAAAGTGGCGGTCGACGGCGCCGCGAACGAAGCGCTCGACGGCCTCCCCCCGGGGCGTGTTGGTCGGAGGGGGGGGTGTGGGCACGGGATGGAAAATGGCTTGCCCCGGCTGGTCATCATCAGAAGGAGGGCTCTGGCTCTGGCCGTCGGAGGGGGCGCCTCCGCTGCCAGGGGGCACTCCGGTGGCGCCGGGCAAGGAGGAGGCGCCAGCAGGCAACGCCTCCCCCGCAGGCAAAGCATCCCCGGCAGGCAGCGACGTCCCCGAAGCTGCCGTCGCCGCTAGTGCCGCCTCCGCCTCCTCCGCCTCCGCCGTCCACGATGCGCCCGCCGATGCGGCGGAGGAGGAGGAGGACGGCGGAGGCAAGGAGGCGGCGGCGGCTCCGGCGGGCGAGGCGGCGGCTGCTGCGACCGGCTCCGCCGCCGCCGGCGCCTCCTCCTCCTCCATCGGCGACGCTTGCAAAGCCGATGGGTCCTGCGGCGCTGCCCCCTGCGCAGCAGCCCCCTGCGCCGCTTGCGCCGCTTGTCCCTGCGCCGCAGCCCCCTGCGCCGCCTGCGCCGCCGCTGCAGGCCACTGCCCCACAGCGACTGCCGGCGCAAGGACGGGCCCCTGAGCCGGTGGCGCCTGCGCCGCCACCGCCGCTGCCCAAGCCGCGACGGCCGCCGGGGATCCGGCGGCGGTGGCGACGGAGGAGGCGGGGGCGGGGGCGGAGGCGGGGGCGGGGGCGGGGGTGGTGGCGGGGGCGGCGGTGGAGGCGGAGGCGGAGGCGGAGGAGGCGGAGGCGGCGGCGGCGGCGGGAGCGGCGGCGGGGGCGGGGGCGATTGCGGCGGCGCCCTCCGGCGCGTCGGGAGGGGCTGGCTGCGCCATGCTGGCGAGCAGCATGTTTGCCGGCGCACCGCGCTGCATGTTCATGTACATGACGAGCTCGTCTTCGATCCGCCTGCACGGCTCGGCGAGTCTCGGCCGATCTCGGGATGATCTCGGGCTGATCTCGGGCTGATCTCGGGCCTGTGGTCTCCGGCTGCTTTGGGCTGCTCTCAAGCTGCTCTCAAGCTGCTCTCGAGCTGCTCTCGAGCTGCTCTCGGCTGCCCTCGCGCCTCTTGATGCTGGCGATCTCGGCCAGCTGCGGCAGCTGCCGGCCAGGCCGCGGCCTCGCCGCAGCGGCGGTCGCCTCAGGGTGAGGTGAGGGGCAGCTGAGGTCAGGGACAGGTGTGCGGGGAGGCGAGGCAGGGCCGGGGCCTCTGGGCAGGATGTGCCTCTAGGCAAGATGTGTGTGCTGCTCACGCCCCACCGCCCCTGGCACTAGACGCCCCGCCGCCCCTGGCACCCGGCGCGCCTGCTGCTCGAGGCGGCGGACGCGCTCGGAGAGGGCGCGTGTGCGGCTGCGCTGCGCCTCCTCCTCGGACACCCTGCGCTCCTCGAGCCGACGCAACCGCGCCTCGACTGCTCTGTTCGCCGCCTCGACCCGCTCGATGTGGCTGCGCAGCGCGTCCCGCTCGGTCGCCCAGCGCGCCTCGGCGCCGCGCAGCACGCGGCGGCAGAGCGCGTGCCGACACCCCGCCTCGTGTGCCTCGAGGTCCGCGTGGATGCCGCGCCAGCCGCAGCCGTCGTCGGCCGCCTCGCACACCGCCGGCCGCTGCGGGCAGCTCCGCTCGTGCGAGCGGCGCTGGCCAAAGGTGAGCTCGAGCGCGCAGTGGTCGCACCGCGAGGGCAGCGCGGCGATCGCCTGCTCCGCCGCCAGCGAACGGATCGGGTCCTCGGGCAGCGCCACGCGGCAGAGCGGGCAGCGGCGCTGCGGCAGCCCAGCGAGGCAGCCGGCGCAGTAGTAGTGGCCGCGGTGGCACTGGTGGACCTCCTCCTCGGGCGTGGCGAGGCAGATGGCGCAGTCCCACGGCGTGCGCGGCTCGACGCGAGGCCGGGTCGTCATATATCCTTTGGCCGCGTTGGGTAGCGAGGATTGGTGTAGGAAGGGGCAACCAGTACCTCAAGTATCGTAGTCTTTGTTAGTATCGAGGTCTCGTGAGTTTTGGCACTGATAAATTCGCGCGACTCGCGGCGAGCCGAGCCAGGCCACGGCGCTCGGCCTGCTGAGAGAAGACCTTCCCCGACGGCAGTGACAATTTACCCGACATCAATCGTCGACGGCAAGCTCGAGAACTGCGCCTCCAAAGTCGCCCAGATTCGCCTCTCGCGGCGCGCTGAGTTAGTATCGCCGGTGCGCCAGCCGGCTCTGCTCCACAGCAGGGCATGCCTGACTGGCTCCTGCTAGCCGTGCGTCCTGGTGGCATCCATTGCCAGCTCAGGTAGCCTCAGGAGGTCGCCTCGCGCACAACTCGGCGTCGCACAGCACCGCTCCGCGTTACTACCGAGTTAGTATCGTCGACCCACAGAGACTGCTCTTCTGTAGGTGGAGCCGACAAACGCCGGCCGGGTCGGCCCCGCCGCCCCCATCGCCGCCGCCGGGGCGGCGGCGGCCTCGGCGGGCCATCCGGCGCGCCGCGCGCCCGACGGGGAGGTGTTCACCACTCCTGGCTCCTCACCCCGCCACGCCTTCGTGCAAACGCCGTGGCACCCGCCTCAGGCGCCGCTCGGACTCGGTTGACGGCCGCCCAAGTGCTTGGCTCGTGCCCAGCCGACCGGCAGGCGATGCCCACTCGCTGCTAGGCTAATCCCGGGCTGTCAAGCGGCGGTGTGGTGCCGTGAAGGGCAGCGGTGCCAAAACTACGACTATTAGTACCGTGCGGGGGCAGTGCATTTAATTCTGTCAAAAATCGAAATGTGCTCCGTGGGACGTATTGGGCTAGGATCATACGTCCGGGAGGCCCCCCATGCGTGCCGCAACGACCCACAGTTCTGGTACCACTCTCTTCACGTTCACAGCTCTTAAGTGTGCCATAACTCCGATACCTGAGGTATGTGGTGTGAAAACCCCTATTTGGTGCGGCGGCGCAGAGTGCGCCGAATCGGCGCAGAAATCGGCGCACTTCTGCGCCGGCGCCGGCGCAGATGTGCGCCGGCGCCGGCCCACTTTTGCGCCGGTGCCGGCGCACTTTGCGCCGCCGGCGCACTTTGCGCCGCCGGCGCACTTTGCGCCGGCCGGCGCACTTTTTGCACCACATAGGGGTTGCCACCACACTGGTGCGCACTCGCTCTCTGCCGCTGCCAACGATTGAGCCCGGCCCACGTGGCGCACATTGCTCGGACCGCAGTCACTGGAGTCGGCGCCGCCGCCTCTGCTTGTTTTCCGCGGACCGAAACGCCGCCGACGAGGACACTCGCATGACGAGGACACTCGCCGACGACAGCGGCGCCTGAGGGCGTGGGCTGCACGGCCCTTCGGGGCGGCCCGCGGGGCAACGGGAGGGAGCTCTCCCGCCGTCGTGGCGCACTACATGTTCCGGCCTCTCTACAGTCGCCTTTTGGCATCTCCTCTCGCCGCCGAGTTAGACCCCGCCGCACCGACATCACCGCCAGCGCCCTTCCCAAGCACCTTCCCGGCGGGCAGCGCTCCGTAGCGGCGCTGGCGGCCCCTGCGAGCCGGCCGTCACCGCGAGTGCGTACTCGAAGGCGCGCGCGTCCCCTCCCTCCCCGGCCCGCCGCGTCCCTCTGACCACCCCTCCGCCCTCCCCCTCCCGGGCCAGGCGTGCCTCGGGGGCGTACAAAATGGGCGCGGAGCGCATACCCGGCGACGGTCTCTCTTGTGCCTGAGCGCTGCCCCCCTCTCGGGCGCTGCGAGCTGCGTCATGCGCGTCCCTTCCGCCGCTCGGCCGCGCCCCTGCCCGACTCACCCTCCGACTCGGCCGCAAGACCATAGCACCGGCACTGCTGGCGACACGCAGGACGACCGCCAAGAGCGCTGCACCAACCCCCCCTGGGGGGGGGGGGGGGCAGCGGCCCTCAAGCAGTAGCACGGCTACCGTGTGAAAGTGTGACACCCCAAAACCGTAAATAGCACGACAAAATACGTACTGGCTGGTGGATCACCATGGAGCGATCATGCACATGCGATATATGCCTTATGCGTCATGGACGATGGACGGCAGAGCTCTCTCGTCTCTCACGGAGACACAGGGACGTACACGCTAGCGTCGTGGTACACCCCTCACTAGACAGCGGTGCCGCGGTGGAGGCACCCGCGGGCCTCTCCGCCCCTTGGGCGGGAGGCGGCGGCTGCTGCGGCGGCGGCGGCTGCTGCGGCGTCGGCGGCGGCGTCGGCGGCGGCGGCGACGGCGGCGGCGGCGGTGGCGGAGGGCTCCAGGAGGGGTGCCCGCGTGGTTGGGTTGGTCGGATGGCTTTTTGCCGCGCAGAGAGGCGCTGCAGATCGGCCAGCGAGAGACTCATGAGCGTCTGGGTTGAGCGTGTGGGGCCCCAAATCTGCGCCGGCGGCGCACATCTGCGCCGGCCGGCGCAGAGTGCGCCGGCGGCACCAACCTCACGTCGCAGAGTGCGCCGGCGGCGCAAAGTGCGCCGTTTGGCGGCGCAGATCTGCGCCGGCGCCGGCGCAGATCTGCGCCGGCACCGGCGCAGAAGTGCGCCGGATCCGGCGCAGAAAACGGCGCACTTTTGCCCGCACCACATACGCGTTTTGCATGGTTTACGCGCCCCACCGCCGGCCCAGACCGCCGCCCGGCCCGCCCGTCCGCCCGCCGCTTACGGTGCCCACCCCGCGCCCCCGGAGCCCGAAAACGGGGCGCCGCGAGCTCGCAACTCCGAGTTTTCCTCGAAATCACACCACATACTGGTTGCCCCTTCCTAACCCGAGCCACGGAGGCGTGTTTTCTGGCGGCCGACCGTCAGTGCACGGAGTTGCCACTTCTCCGACGCGTTTGTTCACGGACAGCCAGGCTGGCCGCATGTTTGAGCGCTGGCCGCACTCCGAGTGAGACTCCTCGTCCCGCCAGCGCCCACAGCGGCCATGGGCAGCCACCCACGAAGGCGACTCGCGCTGGCACGTGCATGCACAGAGGGATGTTCACATACGCGGCTACACGTGTGGGCGCCTATCTAGGGGAACAACGCGCCCCATGCGTGGGCGTGTATGTCACGCGGTACGCGGCTGCGAGTGCAGCCGCCTATGTTGGCCAAGAAAGATAGGCGGCTGCACGTGTGGGCGCGAGTACCGCTATACGCGTCTGCACGTGTGGCCGCGTATCTTGGCTAAGATACGCGCCGGCACAGAATGACACGCATCAGGCCCCGCCGAGCTCGATGAACGCCAGCGGGTGAGGGCGGCTATTCTCCCCCGAGGCAGGCGAGGATACGCAGTCCCTCGTGTCGCGCGTGTAAGTCCCGGTTGCCGTGCGCGCCAGCGCGTGTGGCCGCGTACCTTAGCTAAGATACGCGCGCACGGGCGTGGGTGGGTAAAAACGGGTCACTTTGCGGGGTTTACCCGCACACACGCAGGGGAGGACCCCCCCCCCCCCGCTGGTTCTCCCAGGAATCGCAGATTTCTTTTGGTGCACGACTCCACTGAGAAAACGCCGACGCTCGTCGCCTAAAGCCCCAGCCGTGGAGCAGCGAGGGGGTGATATGGAGTACACACACGCCGACATATCGGAGACAATAGGGGGATACGTACGTACGGCGTGAAAGAGCTATCGAAAATCGACCTTGACCCAGCCGATTCCAGGGGTGGATGGGTTGGGAGCGAGGGGGCGGAAGTGTTCAGTGCGGTAGATGGTAAGCTCGAGGCGCGTGAGCCGGACCTGTGAGCCGGACCACCCCCTCTTGTTCCCTGCGTTGTTGAGCCAGGACTCAACATACTCGGGCTGTCCATCCCAAACTGTCACTCCCCTTTCTCCCGGCCGGGGCGGGGCGCGCGCGGGTGGCGGCGGGTGTGCGGGATGTCTGTGGGCCCGAGAGCGATATGCCATGTCCGCCTTGCGTTTGTTTCATAACATCGAAGGCTAAGCTCAAAAAAGAAAACGAGGATCGCCCCGAGCCCTTGCTCCCCCCCTTGCCCCCCCTCCTCCCAAGCGGCGCCAACACGATCCAGGCGTCAGGCGTTGGCGACCTTGGCGGCGTCCGAGAGTCCGCCCATGCGCCGCGTCCTCAGCAGCGCGCCTGCTGCCGAGATGATTGGAGCCGCGGTGGCGGAGAAGGCGGCGGTGCGGGCGCTCTCTGCGCGGGCCGTGTCCACAGCCGCGGCGGTGGCGACGGAGGAGGGTGGCGGCATCTCGATGAAGACCAAGGTGCCCGGTCCGGTCGGCCTGCGTCTGATGGAGCAGCACGGCCCGCAGGGCGCGAGCGGCGGTGCGATCAGCCTCTTTTGCGACTACCGCGCCTCGGACGGCTGCTACCTCGTTGACGCCGACGGGAACCGGATGCTCGACATGTTCTCGCAGATCGCGTCGCTGCCGCTCGGGTACAACCACCCGAGCCTGCTCGCCGCGCAGGCGGACCCGCTGCTCGCCACCTACTCCACCTCGCGCTGCGCCATCGGCCTGATGCCGCCGATGGAGCTGCCGGCGCCGCTCGGCGATTCGTTCCCAAGAGATGGTCAGCTGCATGAATCATCAGGATGAGGCATTGCTCCTAGGAGCTGCTCGACGAGACGTTCCTCAAGATCGCGCCCGCCGGCCTCAGCCGCGTGCAGACGATGCTCTGCGGCTCGAGCGCCAACGAGAACGTCTTCAAGGCGGCCATGTTTGCGTACCGCGCAAAGCAGCGCGCCAAGGCCGGCCGAGGTCCGACCGACTTCACTCGCGACGAGCTCGAGTCGTGCATGGTCAACCAGTCCCCCGGCTGCGCGAACGACCTCTCCATCCTCTCCTTCCGCGGGGGCTTCCACGGCCGCACCATGGCCGCCCTGACATGCACTCACTCCAAGCCGGTCCACAAGCTGGACGCGCCCGCCTTCGACTGGCCGACGGCGGGACTCTCCCGCGCTCAAGTAGGCGCCCGAGACGCGCCGAGGGGACCCGAGACTCGCCGTGGCTGTAGGCCGACTTCCCCGCTCTCCAGTACCCGCTCGAGCATCACGCGGCTGAGAATGCGGCCGAGGAGGCGCGGTGCGTGGACGGCGCACGCGCCATCTTCGAGGCCCCGCCCAGCCGCGCCGCCGCACTGCCCTCGACGACTGAGCCGAGCGGCGGGTGTTTGTGCGTGGGGTAGGCGCGGCTGGCCGAGGGCCGACCCGTCGTCGGCTTCGTCCTCGAGCCGACCCTCCGCCGTGAGGATGGTGCGCGAGGTGACGCAGAGACTGCGCTGAGATTAGGCCTCATCATCGAGCCGATCCTCTCCGAGGGGGGCGACCTGCACGCGTCGCCCTCCTTCTTCGCCTCGCTGCAGCGCCTCTGCGGCGAGCGGCGCGAGGACGGGGGGGGCGGGTCCCGAGCGGATGCCTCTCCACGGTTGCGATTGTGAAAAGGTGAGTTCGACGCCGCGTTTATCGTGGATGAGGTGCAGACGGGCGTGATGGCGAGCGGCCACATGTGGGCGCACCAGGCGGTCGGCCGGGACCCGCCGAGATCATCCGAGATCCGCCGAGATTTCACGCATGTGAGCGCCGGGCAGAACATTCGTTCTCCGAGCCCGTCCGGGTCTCCGAGTTTCTGCGAGAGCCTCCGAGAGCCTGCGAGAGTCTCCGAGTTTCTCCGAGAGAGCTAGCCTTTCTCCGAGAGAGGTAGCCCCGCGAACTCCCCGAGACTGTGCCAGGCGTGGGGCCTCCCCGAGGCGCCCGACTTTGTCGTCTTCAGCAAGAAGGCGCTGCTCGGCGGCTACTACTTCAAAGAGGCCTTCCAGCCGCCGCAGGGCCGCCACGTCCAGCGGAGGAGCGACACCGACCCGGCTTCTCACTGGCCTGGTCCCTCGCTCACTGCAGGATACCGCATCTTCAACACGTGGATGGGCGACATGACGAAGCTGCTCCTCTTCCGCGCCGTCCTCGAGGCGGCAGAGCGCGAGGGGCTGCAAGCGCGCGCTGTGAGCACCGGTGCGGCGCTGATGCGCACTCTCGAGGCCGCGAGGGAGCGCCGCCCCAGATGCTGGGGATCCACACTGCCGCCTCGCCCGCCAGCAGCCAGACGCTTGAAGCCGCCCGTGTTTGCGCGAGGGTGCGAGTGCACCGCCGCAAGCTGCTCGTGCACGCCCCCTTCTTGGCATCCACACGCTGAACCCGCACCACCCGCGCTGCGGTGGCTTAGCTCACAGCCTCACCTGTCAAGAGACGCCGTTCACACTCACGCCGTAGGAGCGGCACCCTCGCGCGGTGCGCAACTTGCGCGGCGCCGGCACCATCATCGCCTTTGATTGCGAGACGCCCGAGATGCGCGACGAGCTCGCCGCCGCGTTGCGAAACAACGGCGTGCTGGTGGGGACCAACGGCTCTCAGTCGATCCGCTTCCGGCCCGCCCTCATCTTTGGCGACGAGCACGTCGACGAGTTTGAGGGCGTGTTTGCGGCGACGCTGCGGCAGCTCGCGCTCTGAGCGGCGGCCCGACGACGACCGTCGCGCCTTCTCCAAGGGCTTGCGTGATTTTTCTTTGTCTTTGCTCTCGAGACGCGCTCTGGCTCTCGTCCTTTCGGGCCATCGCGATCTCTGTCTTCTCTCTAGGATCGCGAAAGCGTCGCGCTGTACAGTACCCGTTGTGATATATGTTTCAGCCCACTAGCACTACAAAAAGCTCTGGGCCGGCGCGGGGGCCCCCGGCCCACACCGTGCGCCGCGCAGCCGAGTGCGGAAACGGGGCTCCGGCTCTATGAGTCTCTATGAGCACCGACTTCCCGATTAAGCTAGGTTAATCAGAGGGCAGATTTGGAGAGATCTCGAGGAGTACATACAGATAGACCCTCCAACCATCAGAAAACTCCGACCTGATCGGTCGTACTGACCGCCGACAGATCACTGCAGACAGCAGACAGGCCGACGTCTGCACGCGGCCGGCCGGGCGAGAGGCTTGACACGATCCGACCCTGCGACCCTGACGCTGCTGCTCTAGCTATCAGCCATGCACTGCTGACTGCTGCCACAATGTGCGACCTGTGCTGGCCCACTTGGCGGCCTTCCCGGTCAGTGGTGAGGCGCAGTTCAGAGCTGTCGATGGCGCGATGCCGCACTGGTCCCCACATTGGTGACACGATACCACCAAGTTTGCCGGTCCAAGAGAGAGGCACCGGCGCTGTCCTGAGAAGGTGCGTGGTCCCTCTTGACTGCCCATGCGCGCGAGGCTGTGTAGGCATAGCCTCGAGAGTGCCAGCAGCCCATCCGAGGTGACGCGCATTGCGCCAGAAGCGTGCACGCAGCTGGAAGGACACCTTCCTACTGGCCGTACGATCAGGTCGTCACTGAATGCTTAATACTAAGGCCGCGAGCTATGCAGGTGATCAATTGTGCATCATGGCACGGTCAGCTGCGCCGACAGGCTGTCGCAAGGCGTGATAGCATGGCCGCAAGTACGCCGAATTCCCATGAAAACAAGTAAAAAATCGCGAAAAAAAACTCCAAAAATCGGCGCCTGCGGCGGGCCATGGGACCCCATCTCCCCCCCGCATGGACACCCTCTGGGCCCCCCGCGCCGGCCCAGAGACAAAAAGCGCGAAAGACCGTGTTTTTGCACAAAAAGAAAAACACCAGAAGACGTCTCCAAGTGTCGAGGCTCCCGTCACGATGGACGCCATATGGCATATCTCACCCGTCTTTTAAGCGCTTCATACCACCACAAAAAAGAACCCAGCACACGATTATCGCCAAAACAGCTTAAACTCCCATACAGACAGGGTCGCCCAAGACTGAAGCTCCCTACAGTAGTGGGCGAGCGTGCAGAACCGCGTTCGCTCAGAGCCCAAGCACCCCGAGCTCGTTGTCCCTTAAGCGCGCCGGTGCCGCTGGGATGCACGCGGCATACGTCCCGCACGCGGGTCCGCAGTGGCCGCCCATGTCCTCGTCGTCGCCGTCGCCGCCGCCACCCTTGGCAGCGATGGCCTTCCGCTTGTTACGGCCGGGACGGCCGCCACCACTGTGTCCTGAGACGAGATGGGCGCGACCCCCGCGGGTGTGTAGCTGTAGGGCGCGGCACTGACCTCCGATGGTCCAATGCGGACCGGACCTGGAGCTTTGACATGCGCGATGCAACAGACGTCGTCGTTGGCCTGATCAAAGACCCTTGGCGCGAGACCTGAGCAGCTTCCATGAACTTCGAGTCATGCGGCGCGTGTAGCCTGTACTCGAGCTGGACGTGTGTCATGTTGGTCAGCAGCTGGCGCGTGCGCCGCGGCGCCTCCGGCAGGCGCACCGCGGCGGGCAGCGAAAAAGGAGCACGGCACGGGCGCGTCGCACGATGGCGTGCGACAACGGTCGGCACCAAGCATCAGCACGTCGGGCGGGCAGCGACTCGCGTCGGCGGTGCTCATCGGGTTGGTGTAGAAGCCTGGCACGCCATTCTTTGCGGGGAGCAGCCGTGAGAGCATGATGCCGCACGATGATGCCGCACGTTCCATAGCCTCGCCGCCGAGCCGTCCGTGCACACGCGCGGCCGCTGACCCCTCCGCACCACGAAGCCGTTGACGATTTTGCCGTGTCGTACGTCCGCCCAATGCTTGATGTCGTTGCCGTACAAGGAGAAGACGTGTGCAATCGGTCTGCAATCACCGTCACGCACTCCATACTGGGACGTACGCACACTCCGCCTGGAAAAAAGAAACCCACTGTCCGAGAAATCCGGGGCTACCTTCACACTGCCTGTTATGACTCGGCCGATACGTTCGCTCAGGTCGGACACTTTACTGATTATCCTGACCGCCTCCTGTGAGCTGTGTGCTGTCTGTGGGTATTTTCGCGGCACCGAGCTAACTGTCTGGCTAGTTTCGGATACTCGGGTACTTGTGTGTGCATCGCGCTACTTATTTGAGACCAGGCTATAGTCAGTCTCGATGATAGTCACCAGTGAGGGAGGGCGAGACGATCGGGGGGTCCCGTACCATGCGGAATCGACCCTGTCAAGTGCTCAAGTGCTCAGGTCTCACTCACTCTCAGCGTGCAGTGCCTTCCACGTACCACGTCTTCTGCGAGATTGCGATCGCCATCAAAACATACAGATACACCGGACCGGGTCGCTGCGCTCGATCCGTTGGCCGCTGATTCGAGGCCGCCCATCTCCGCCATTGGATGCAGCCGACGCCGAGCCGAGAGAGAGCTACTTACTATTAGTACGTGTACGTCAATTAGTAAGCTAAAAGTACGTACGTACATACACAAACGCCTCGAAGGACGAAGAGCTCTCCGATCGTCGAGATAAAGCATCAACTGCGCGGAAGAAATGAAACAGCCGAGCGAGCCAAGGGAGGGATGGGAGGACGGCACGCCGCTACCAACCACACTCCACACAGGGATTTTAAGGAGAGGAATGTGGTGGTGCTACCAGTCGCCCACCCTTGGGAGTCTGCCTCTTCCATCTCTCTTCGCAGTCCCTCGTCGATTCTCGCTGCAACCCACCTACACCGGGATAATCGCACTTGGAGCACTTGGAGTGCAGTCATTAGCCTCACATCCAGGGCCGGGGAGCTAAGAAGCGCACCCAGCGGGCATCGCGGAGATTATTTTCACAAGCAGGACTTGTCGTCTAGCGACATGAAACGAACCTAGACACACAGTGCGGCGCCGGCCTTCTTCCCTTCCACAAATCGAGCGCAGTCACTAACCGAGGCATGACAGAGACAGAGATCTCGGCAAGCGTGCCATCCCATGCGCCTGCGGAGGGTGTACCAGCGGATGTGCTCGGAGTGATAGCGTCACACGCCGCCGACGCGCGGGATGTGGCCTCACTCGCATCAGCAGCCAAGGAAACGCGGGACGCGACGGCGGCTGAGCTGGAGGAGAGACGTCTGAAGCTGGTGGCACTGAGGGCGAAGCTGAGGAGTACGCTGCTGGTCGAGGAGCCGTATGCACCGGGCGCCATATGGGCTGAGACGATCGAGGAGGTGCAGCTTCGTCGGCTGAGCGATGAGCAAGAGGCGAAGGAGCAGTGGAGCGCCACATGGATGCGTGTCCTCCACTTCGACGAGCAAGCAGCGCGGCGCAAGACTGCCGGCCATGCCGTCGGCCTGGGCCACGGCTTCATGACGGTGCCGCAGGAAGTGTTGGACTACGTGGCGGAGATGGAGGCGATGAGCGAAGCGGCCTTGCGTCGCGCCGACGGGAAGCGCTATCGGAACGGCGACACGAGGCGCTTCCGCATGCGGCGGACCTTCACGTACGTGCCGACGAGTGGCGCGATCGCGTGGGACGGCGACGAGGTCGCTCAGTCAGACGAGGTGTAGAACTAGCGATTGCACTGATGTAATCCAAATTGCACAAGGGCCGCGGAAAGGTAAGCGGGCATTTCTCTGTAAGAAGGAAAACGCAACATCAACTCTCTCACCGACACACACAGGTCCAACAGGTACCAAGAAAGAGGCACAACGGGGCATCCTATGTCTCCTCTAAGAATGAAACATCGCTACTCGCCGGGCCCGCTGTAGACAAACGCGTCGCTCGACCAGTCTGGCGCGCCGCGCGGCAAGCGGCGGCCGGTGACGCCTCCGTGCGCTTTCAGTATGTCGTTGCCAGCGACCATGTTGGACGACAGCCGCTCCATCGGTGTCATCTCGTAATTGTCCTTTGCGTTCACGTCCGCGCCGTGCCGGATTAGCACTTTGATGAGCTCCGACGTGTCGCCTCCGCGGCCCATCCCACACATGTGCAGCGGCCGAGCGCCGCCAGTCATGACGAGGTTGGCGAGGCGCTTGCGTGCGCCGTTCGCTTCTGGCACGCTCTCGAGCAGCGCATCCAGCTTGCTCGCCCGTCCATCCATGATCAGCTGAGCAATGCTCGTGTAGCCACGGTTGTCGGCCGTCAGCCTCGCGTAGTCGAGGTACGGGCCGGTACGGTGGATCGGGTTGTGCGCCGGCGGCGCGAGGTTGTTCTCAGGCCACTCGTCGCCGATGAGTACCTGCGAGTGAGGTGGAGAAGTTGGGGTGGCACCCTGCTGCGATGCTTCGGTGGCGAGGGCGGAGGAGGTGCGAGAGGTGCGAGAGGTGCGAGAGGTGCGAAGGTGAGGCACTGAGGCACACCCTCCCCTCGCTGTCACGCTTCACAATGCCGCCGTACACGCCTGCTCCGACCACGTCAATTGGCAAGTTCCAGCCGATCTGGAGTGCGACGCTGTACGGAATTGGCTGCTTGTTCCAACGCATCTCCTTGGACGCGATGCCGAGGATGGATGGCAGCATTCTGCGGTAAGGCTAGGCGTGGCACCACGGCGAGTATGAGCAAGGACGCCGGCCGACTCGGACCTCTGCACGACGATCAACCAACACGATCAACCAAACACTTCGTGGACATGACGGGGAAGCTCCCTCGCGAGGTCTCGTGGCTATGTTAAAATGAACTCGGGGGGGACGGTACAAACGGGGTACACCAAAAGGCACGGGCTGCCTGCACGGCGTTCACTCGAACGCCATGCACATGGCGCGGAGCAGCCCCGGGTTGGTGTCGAACCCGAGCGGGTCCTCCTCCCAATCCCGGCGCCCACCCTCCGCGTCGTCCTGCTCATCGTGCGCTTCGAGCACCCTGCCGAGGCACAGGATCGTCCCCTTGGGAACGCCTGCCCCTCGCACGCGCGGGAACTCTCCCTCCCTGCACCGCCATCACGAACTTCTCGCGCGCCCACTTGCCGCCACGGCGGCAGTGCTGGGGCGCGCGCTCGCGCAGCTCATCGTAGAGCTCCTCGGCCCTCGCCACCTCCGCCGCCCAGCCCTCTGTGTCTGTTTTCCGTGTGTTATCTTGCAAATTTCCGTCGAATAAAGAAGAACAAAAAAGAAAACGCGCCTTGCGAGTCTTTCGATGCTATTCGTCGTACCACTCCTCCGGCCCACCGCCGCGCCAGCCCTCCGCTCACCCCCTCCCGCCGCCGCCGACTCTCTCCGCGTGTGCAACGGCGGACAGTGCGGCCAGTTTGGCGGGAGCCTCCTTCTCGACGCCGCGTCGGCGCTGGCGGGAGCGTCTCCGATCGCCGTGACCACCCAGAACTGCTGCGGCGAGTGCCCCGACGGTGTGATCGTGCGGCCGTGCAGCGCGTCGAGCTACCTGACGGTCGACGCATCCAGCCTTCAACTTGCGCTCGACGCGGCCGCAGGCGCTCTCGACGCGGCGGGCGTGAGCGTGGAGCCGGGGCTGCGCGAGGCGTTTGGTCACCACCACGCTGCGAAGGTAGAAGAGGAGCGCGCCGACGTGGCGGCCGCGCTGTCGGAGTACTCGGCGGCCATCGGCGCGATGCCGGCGTCGGTGCTCCAGCCTTGGCAGCCGCCCCTCGAGCCAGAGCCACTGCTCTGGCCAGGGACGGCTTGGCTATGCGATCAGCCGGGAGGCGGGCCGCGAGGGCGTGAGCTGCGGAAGCGGGGGCCTTCGCGTGCGCACCTTCTCGGAGGCCTTCCTCCTAGGCGCGCTGCGAGGGCTGGTGCTCCGCGAGGACAAGGAGGGCGCCGACTGGACGCTGACGCGGCCTCCGCCCAACAAGGCGCGGCCCCTGCCCCGCCGCCTCCGCCTCTAGAGCCGTCTCCACCTCCCGCCGTCGCTGTCGCTGCCTGGCGCACCGCCGCCCCTCACCACTGCCGCCCTCCCAGTCCCTCACCACTGCCGCCCTCCCAGTCCCTCACCACTGCCGCCCTCCCAGTCCCTCACCACTGCCGCCCTCCCAGTCCCTCACCACTGCCGCCCTCCCAGTCCGCCGCCCTCCACCTTCTAGTCCGCAGTTGTTCTCGCCCCCCGCGCCTCACCGCTCCCCGCCTCGCTGCCTTCGCCAGCCCGGCCCCGCGGTGCTGCGTCTGCACAGCGCCTCGGCCGGTGAAGAGGGAGGCCGGCCGACGCTTCGCGCGGAGTACGTGCTGCCGGCGGAGGGGGCGGCGGAGGGGGCGGCGGCAGAGAGCGGCATAGCGGAGCTTGTGATGGCGGACGACGGGCGGAGCTTTGAGGGCGCGCTCTGTGGGCCGGGAGGAGGGCGGGAGCTTCGCTGAGCCCTCTCGGAAGCCTCCTCGCAGGCACGCTCTGTGGACCGGGAGGCGAGGCGCGCCTCTGGCGCGGCGCCAGGTGGGGCGTCGGGCAACACGACCCTTCTCGGAATCCTCTTGTCTTCACGCGGCGCCGGGTCTGAACAGGCTGGGCGTCGGGACCGGCATGAGGCGGAAGAGGCGGGGCGCGAAGCCGCCTCAAAAGGCCGCTTGGGTGCACGACAGCTACACGCGGCGCGGTCGGCTCCTCCTCGCTGCCGGCGACGCGGCCGCCGCGCGTGCGGACGCTCTGGCCGCGATCCGGCTCTGCCCCCGCGCGGCAGACGGATGGAGTTTGCTCGCCGACGCGGCGGAGAGCGAGGGCGAGGCGGCGGCGGCGGCGGCGGAGGTGGAGTGGCTGCAGGGATGGGCGTGACGCGTCCTTTCGGGAGAGCGCGCTGGGCGGCGCGATAAAGCCGCCGCCTCCCGCACTCTGTGCTCTCCCGCTTCTTTTTTATGTGTAAGGGGTGGTATTCGGTCTTCACTTGACCTCTGGTGGCTTGAGCTGGGAGCGCTCTTTTTAAATCAATCATCGTCGAGGTAGCGGTTTACTGTTATCTGTTTAGCTCTCCTTCGCGGACCAGATCGGCCATCGGCATCGCGGATATGCGACGCCGGGCGCGGGGGCGAGCTTCTCGGATCTCGCGCAGTCGCACAACGCACCCCATTTTAGCGCGATTTCCTTATATTATTTTTGTGCTGTGAGACAATCTCTCTCGCGGCGGCCCACCAGGGCGCAGGGGCCAGCTATCTGAAAATTGTGCCCATGCCATGGGGCGAGTCAGAGCCGTGATAGCTTTGGCCGCCGGGGTTTAAACATAAAGCCGCAGGGGCGCGCCCCCCCCTGGGCCCACCCTTTAAGCCTAGGGCGGCCCCCAAACTCCGTCAGAACATCGATGTGTCGATCGCGCCCGAGCGTTCCGACGGCGTCATCCTGTGTCAGAAGTGTCAGTCTCGCGCGCCCGCCCTACCGGCTGGGTGTCTCGTAAGCCCGCGGCGGCAGCGGCGGTGCAGAGTACACGTGGCCACCCTTTTGGCGCAGCAGCCCAATCTCGGCCTTGAGCGAGTCGACCTCCCTTGCCTGCTTCGAGGAATCGTCGCTTGAGTGCTAGCGGCCGTGTGGGCTTTAGGGGCGCTTTCTGATCTGCCTCCACCTCTAGAGTAGTGTTTGCGCGCGTCCCAAGTGCCCACGATGAGGGGAGATCACTCCCTTCTCGCTACGAATTGCCTGCTTCTTGACTCTGCCGACGAGCTTTTGCCGCTCGCGCTCCTTGCCGTGCTCCAATGGCGCGGGCGTCGCCCGGTTGAGCTGCGCCTCTCCGCCGCCGCCGTCGCCGCCGCCGTCGCCGCCGCCACCATCCCCACCGCCGTCGCCGCCGCCCTCCAACCCGCCACCTTACCCGCCGCCGCCCTCGCCGCCGCCGCCCTCCCCGCCGCCGCCATCGCCACCTGAGCCGTCCCCGCCGCCGCCCTCGCCGCCGCCGCCG